GCAGCAGCATGATCATGAGTATGAGCATCACCATCATCGGGATGAGCAGCATCAGCCTCCTCATCACCATCATCATCAGCAGCAGCATCATCATCATCAACATAATTGTCATCATCATCACCGCCATCATCAGCAGCAGCAGCATGGCCAGCCTCATCTTCATCATACCCCTCATCATCGTCATTTGTATCAGCATCATCACCGTCATCAGCATCATGAGCAGCAGCAGCAGCAACATTAACCTCATGACCCTCATCAACATCACCATCAGCATCATCTGCAGCATCATCACCACCAACACTGTCATTATCATCATCATCATCATCATCATCATCATCATCATCATCATCATCATCATCATCATCATCATTATCATCATCATCACCACCATCACCATCACCATCACCAGCAGCAGCAGCATCACCATCACCATCACCATCATCACCAACATCATCATCATCATCATCATCATCATCATCATCATCATCATCATCATCATCATCATCACCACCACCACCATCATCATCATCATCATCACCATCAGCAGCAGCAGCATCATCATTCCTGCGTTCCCCCTCTTCCTCATCCCTTCGCTGCCCCACGAGAGTCGACGTCTCGAAAAAAGTTGCAGCACCGCACCACAATCGCGACCTGAACCCCAGGGCCCTGCCTTTTTCCGCCATGTTTCGGGCCCGATCTATCCGCGAGGGTCCCGGAAGCCCGAAGTTGGGCGAAAACGCCTGGCTCAACAACCAAAAATAAGATTCCGAGGATGTCAGGGCCCCTCCCCCCTTCCCAGACGCCCGACGTCGTGATTGTCTCACAACGGCGACCCCCAAAGGTCTGGACCCTTCCCCCGGGACCGGCTTTTCCTCCCGCATCGTGCTTTGACGGTCGCGAGGCCCAGGAAGGGCCCCCGGAGGCCGAGCATGGCGAAAAACCTCCCGTCGCGATTGGATCACCACGCGGGGAGGTCTGGGATCCTCCTCGCGGTGTGACCACACCGCGAGGAGGTCCTCCTCCTCCTCCTCCTCCTCCCCTCCTCCTTCCTCCTCCTCCTCCTCCTCCTCCTCCTCCTCCTCCTCCTCCTCGCGAGGAGGCCTGGGACCCTCCTCCGCCCGCGCGCGCGGGGCGCCCATGGAGCGCGAGCGCTCCCCCCGGCGCTGGGGCGGCGAGCGCAGCGCCCTCGTGGCGGCGGAGCGGCCTCCCGGGGACGCCCCCCCTGGCCGCCGCGCGCCGGCGGCGCCGCCGCCCGCGCCGGGCTGCCCCGCGCCGTGGGCGAGGCTCCCGCCCTCGCCAGGCCGGACCTCCCGACGTCCTACATAGGCGGAGGGGCAGCGGTCCGAAGGATTGCAAAAAAAACACGTCCTACGAAGGATTGCAAAAAAAAAACGGCGAAGGTTTTTTTGCAATCCCACGTCCTACGAAGGTTTTTTTTTGCAGTCCGGCGAAGGGTTTTTGTTGCAATCCCGACGTCCTACAGGCGGGGGGGGGCAGCGGGCCCAGCGAGCCGACGCACGCAGTGGCGAGAAGCAATAGACGGAGGTTCTCGTGAGGCAATCCTCGGCCTCTTCTGGGGGCCCTCGCCGGGCCCCTGCAGGGCATGTCCGGAAGCGACTCGGGAGGAAGGTCCGATGCCAGGGAGCGGGTCGAGACTGCTGGGGGCCCCGCGCGGCAGAAATATCACGACCTCGGATCTCTGGGGGGGCTCCCCTGCCCGGAGGTGCTCGCTCTCTCTCTCTCTCTCTCTCTCTCTCTCTCCTAGCGAGCCCGTGCTGCAGGGAGGCGCTCCTCCTCGGGCGCGGCTGGGCCGGCGGGCGTGGGGCGCGGCCCACACGAGGGCGCACACCGGGGCCCTCCACCCACGGGGCCCGGAGAGTCGGGGGCCACGCGAGGGGTAGACAATCGGCGGCGAGACAGGGAGGGGGAAGTGAGACGGGGGCGGGCCTTCTCTCTCGGGGGCAGAAAAAAGGGGGAGGGGGATGACCAGGGGGCTGGGGGATATCATGGCGTGGGCCATGGTATTTCCCCAGGTTTCATGGCGCCTCTTCTTACTTCATTACGTCCCTGGCCCCCCCTGCTGGGCCGCGCACATGCCGCCGGTCATGGTTTGCACCCCCCCCCTCTTGGACACCCCCCTCTTGGCCGCTCCCGACTCGCAGGCGATCGCAAGCATGGATCAGGAGAGCGTGGATCAGTGACGGGTCCCGCTTCCATGGGAAATCGCGGGCTTCCGCCGCCGGACGACGCCGCACCGGCCGCACTTTGGGGAGGGCACCTCCCACACGATCCATGGACTTGGCGACCGCGCGCCAAGTCCACGGCTCGCCAATCCATGCTCGCGCGCCCCCAACAGGGGGTACGGCAGGTTCACCCGGCGCCGGCGCGCCGGCGACGCCGGCGAGGGCGTTCCAGGTGGAATGCCGCGGCGCGGCAGCACCGAGGGGGCACGGTGGCGCCTCTCTGGGCCCGGCGGAGTGCAGCCTTGGACGAGGAGGAGGAGGAGGAGGAGGAGGAGGAGGTGGAGTTGGAGGAGGAGGAGGAGGAGGAGGAGGAGGAGGAGGAGCAGCACGGCCCGGCGGAGTGCAGCCTTGGACGATCGGGGCCGCGATGGATTCAAAGGTTGCACGAGATCGCCGCGGTGTCAGCTTCCTTCCCGCGAGCCTTCGCCGCCACGGCCGGGCTCTCCTGGGAGCTCGGGTCGGAGGGCCCCCCCGGGCGAAGCCGGGGAGCAGCGGCATCGATCCGTCTCTTGCGGTTCCCGTCGGAGTGGCCCGGAGAAGTGTCGGATGCGGGTTTGTCAGAAGCCGTGGTCTGGACCATCGGAAAGGGTACGGAAAGAGTGGTACGAAGGCTGACTGCAGTCCCTGTCCATTTTGCACCGGACTCGCTGTCGGTGTCGCCGCGGCCTGTGTCCATTTGAAACAGAGGGCAGCCTGCCCAACAGCGGCCGCCGTTGGCTTCGGACAGAATTTGCTGTTGGGCATTGTATGATTTGTTTCCGTACCCATTTGGAGCGTCAAAGTTTCGGTTCCTTTCTCAAGGCCCTGCGTTTCTTGATTCAAACGAAGACCCCGCCTATCGCAACTGAGGTGCGATGGGGGTCTTCTAAGAACTCGAGCTCGCGTGAGGTTCCAAGACCCCGGCCACAAAAACTCGGGGTCGCAGCCAGTTATGACAAGCCCATCATGCGAACGCGCCAGTTTTTCAAGGCATACGCAAATTCCAAGAGCAACACCCCTTCCGCGGCCTCGCGGGCTGGGCCCCCGGGCCACGACCCCGTGGATACGGGCCGTCTTTGCCGCGGACGCCCCGCGCGGAACGTATCATTGCGACCGCGCATCCGCGTGATCGCGCCCTGGAATGCGGAACGGGCTCTGCTCTGGCCCCAGTCGGCGGCGGGGTGGACTCAGACGCCGAACGGGCTGCAGTGGGGGGCCCATGCCAAGAGACGCCCTGCTCGCCTCCAGGGCGCCCTGGGCGTCTTGGGTTTTAGATGGCTTTGCTATGGAAGGCGTGACGTTCCCACACCAAGACCAGTGGACGCCCTGGGGCCTCAGGGTTGGGTCTCTTGTGGAAGGCTTCCGGGGGTCGGGCCTGACGGTCGGGTGGGGGGGGGGGCTCGGGGTGCCCCTGGCCCGAGGCGCCCCCAGCTGCTCGCTCCATCCTGGCGCCCCTCATTGGGCCCTCCGGGGCCCCGTCAAGGTGCCCCTGGCCCCAAGCAAGGCGCCCCCAGCTGCTCGCTCCCTCTTGGAGCCCCATGGGGCCCCCCGGGCCTCGCGAGGGGGTGCCCCACGGAGGCCGCCATATAGGGGGCCTCCGTGGAAATCTCGGGGGCACGCCTTCGGCCAGGGGCACGCCCACCGCAGCAGCCGAGGCCCAGGCATCCGGCCGCTCCCATCTCGTCGAGGCGTTGGCCCCGGAGGTCTGGACCATTTCCCCGGGGGCCTGCTCCTTTCGTCCTGATCGAGTCGTTTTGTGACGGCCCCAGGGCCCGGCGAGGGCACCCAGAGGCCAAACGCGGCAACATCCGGCCGCTCCACATTTTGGCTGGAGCGTCGGGTCTCTGGGCTCGTGCTGCCTCTGAGGGGCCGGTTGACCACCACCGCTACCATAGGTAGGGGAGGGACCTCGAGGAGGGAAGCGGAGGAGGACGAGGAGGAGGTGGAGGAGGAGGAGGAGGTGGTGGTGGAGGAGGAGGAGGAAGGAGGAGGGAGGAAGGAGAAGGAAGAAGGAGAGAGGAGAAGAGGAGGAGGGGTGAGGAGGAGGGGCGAGGAGGAGGAGGAGGAGGAGGAGGAGGAGGAGGAGGCCTGGCGAGGGCACCCGGAGGCCGTCAGCGGACCGAGTCTGGCCGTTCTCCACAGTGTTGCTGGAGCGTCGGATCCCCAGGCTCTGCCGCCTCGCCGGGCCGGGCGCTCTCGGAGGCCCTCTCTGGGCCTCGTCGTGAGGGGGTGCGCTGGAGGCCGCTGCATGGGGCCTCCGCGGACATGCTGGGGGGCTCCTTTTCCTCCTCCTCCTCCGTTCTCCTCCTCCTCCTCCTCCTCCTCCTTCTCCTCCTCCTCCTCCTCCTCCTGATCCTCCTGCTCCTGCTGCTACCCTTCGGCCAGGGGCACCCCGAGCAGCAACCAAAGGGGCCCCTCGTGCGAGACTAGGACGAGGATAGATCCGTTCCAGAGCGCTCCAGCACGCTCTGAGAAGGCCGCGGCGCCCGAGACGTCCCCCAGAGCCGCCGGATCTCAGATTCTCGAGTCCTCCCCACCCGAATGCATCCTCGATGGTCCTGGCTTCGTGTCCCCACCCGAATGCATCCTCGATGGTCCTGGCTTCGTGCTGCCCCCCCGGGGGACCGCCCGCGCACC